CCCCCGTTTTTATAAAACACTAATGCGCAACTTAAGCTCAGCAGTCGGGCAGTTAACCAGTGCACAAAATCAAAATTATCATATGGATCAGATGTTTACAGTTCACAGAGGAGATGGTGTATTAACTACACAAGATGAAGAAGCCAGCATTGTTTTGGACACTCTTTCACTTCCTTTTTTTCTCCTCCAGAAATATTCTTCTCGCACTTATCCCTGTGATATAGCTGAAGCCGTCTATTGTGAAACACTCTGGAGAAATTCTTGCACAAGCCATTCACTGGCCCTGACCCGATCACTTCACCTTGCACGACTCTGACAAATATGTATGTGTCTGAGTGGGGGGTGTGTTGGGGTGTGTCAACATGCCTCTGGCAACAGATGTTTGTCAAATCTGAGTGTGGGTTTTCAGCTTCTGGCTTAATTTGAACAAAGCTTCTATTATTGAGCAAAACTGACTTTCTGTAGTGCTGCAGAGGCCCGAACGGATAGCTGCTGATGAGCTTGGGGGCACGCTGAAGACATTTTTGTGAAACGACGACAGCAACTTTCATTTACTTCTGTGTGTTTAAGCAGACCTGCAAATTATGGGCCCGTGTTTGAACAAAGCACCAGAAGCTGCTCGACAACAGGTCAGTGCGCTCCTAGAACCAGTTTCATGTTTGTTTAGGGAGAGCCAAGCACCACAAACACGGTGATATGAATATGCTTATGTTGTACGGGTCACCCAAGGAATGAGGCAAGTGTACGTCCACCAGTGATTAGGTATGGTATCTTCTACGCCATGTATCTGCATTTTCATCGCTACTGATGCCTTTTTTTTCTATGTCTATTTTTGTGAGTTTGCACGATGCATGCACATTTTTTTAAATATATATTTAAAGTGTGTTCTTCTCAGTTTGTGAGGTACAGTGTTCATACAAAAATAAAGATACTATGGAAAATGATGCACAAGCAGGTGAGTGTGACACAGATCACTGAAAACAGATGTTCCAGTTGTATTCCC